CACGTCTGACCAGAACACCAGCTCGTTGCTATGATGAAAGTCCAATGCAATGGCATTTTCCAGATTGTTCAGTAATAATGTGTATTCTGAGCGGTGCGGCAGAACCTGGCGGATATCAATCCGATTCGCAAACAACAAAACTGGTTCTGGACCTGCAAATAGAAAATGGTTTGTATTAAATTAGTCATCCTGGTTCCAAAATCACCAACGTTTTGCTGCTTGCACAGTAGATACTGAGCCTCACCTAAAGCTTTGCAGCTGCGTTTGTCAGGTCGAAGCTCGTAACCTTGCACACACCAGCAGTGAAATCCTCCTTCTATGTTGGTACAGCCTTGACTACAATAACCTTCATCTGCACACTCATCAACATCTGCGTTCAGACCACAAACGCAGGTAAGTTTTAGAGAGATTAAATACATCACATAAAAACATTTCTTAGTCAGTTTAACCTTTAACAATTTAGAACTTGCAACAACATCTAATAACACTATGGTGAACAATGTAGAAAAGCCAGAGACATCCCTGGATTTCTACACTTAAAAAAACAAATGGATAAGTTTTCATAAAAGCAACCACTTAAGTGACCACTTAAGCTCCTAAAATTAAACTGTCACACATCTTACACTCATATTTTTTGGTGCTTGTGCATAAATATACAGTACCGTGCAAAAGTTTTACAAGTTAGATTCTTCAAAAAGTTAAGTCAGTTATTTATACCCTTGTGAAAAAGAAGTGCACTTAATTGTATTGAGTGCACTTGTAGTGTACTTCAAAACTTAAGAGTATTTTTTTTTTTAAAAACACTGCAGATAATATAATATATTTACAAAATAAAAGGCATTACATGATTATGTTTCTTTACACACTTAAGTACACTTTTAAAAAGTGCGCTTTGTAATAATGTCACATTAAATGTTTAATGTTAAATCATTGCTTTAAATATTTTGTTGTGCACTTATTTTGATGTGTTGACTAACGCACATGTAAAGTACTTGATTATAATTTAAACTGCAGTGTTTCGTTTGATATTACATTTAAGATTAATATATTTTAAATGTACTAAAACTGCAATTTGATCATTACAAATGTGTAATTACAAATATATTTAAATACATGAAGTTTCAATAGAAATTACATGAAAATATATTTTAGTTTATCTTAAATGCTTGTCAGTACATTCAGCACTACTTCAACCATATTTTAAAGACAACAGAAGTAATTGTAAGGATGTACTTAAGTCCTACTTAAGTGGGCCAAAAAAGCATTTGAACTATAATATATTTTCAGATTTTAACTGACAATAACATGCAATTAAATGTTTGATCATAAAATAAAAAATAAAGATAACACACACTATTTTAGATAATCTTCCCATAAGAAAATGAATAACAACACTGACAATCCTGTTCAAAAAGTTTGTCCCTTTGGTTCTTAATTTTCTTTTCTGCTGATCTTCTCATTTATTAACTGTCCTTTGTTTAACCCCTTTGTCTATGGCCTCACCTCTGCATGTCTTCCCGTCCTGTGTTAATGTGTAGCCGGTGTGACAAGTGCACTGCACCAGACCTCGAGACATCTGGCATTTCTGTGAGCAGCCTCCGTTGTTAACATTACAGTTTTCTTCACTTGACTTGGAGCCTATAAACACACACAGGCAATGTTAACAAAGAAAAGAGGAGGGAATCAGATCATCACAGAGGAGCTACCACTACTAATCTTTTGTAATATTTCACAGGTACTGCATGTAATAGTGCATTTTGTAGACTCACGACAGTCCTGGTGTGGATGCTCATCAGTCCCATCTTCACAGTCCTTGACGTCATTACAAACCTTACGCTGGCCAATACAGCGGCCATTTCCACACAGGAACTGATCCGACGCACATGGAGGAGTTTCTACGAAGGGGAAAGCAAAAAAATAAAAAACAGAATAATAAAAGGCAAATAAAATGTAAATAACTCTTTTACATCGAAAATATGAATATGTTTTCTACACATTATCAAAAAATCCAAGCAGACTTTTCAGAAACCATAACTATGCACAGCAGGTGCGAAGGGTTAATCCTTAAAAACGTCCATTTTAACCTATTTTAACAAAATGTGCAATCTTTAGTTGTCCCAAAGCACAGCAAGTAGGCGCATTCATTACTAGATCTTATAAATAATATGAATAATTCAAAAAATCCATTTAATGTGATCTATACTAAGTCTATTTTGGGCAGATTTTGGGAGAAATTTAGAATCACATCACTGTCTCAGCAATAGATGCTCTGCAGTGAATGGGTGCCG